ATTGACACTTAAGACTGGTTTTGTGGTCCAGGGTCACAAATGTGATTTTCTTTAACACCTCCAGGTTTTCTTTGCTTGCTCGTAAAGCTGCACAATTTGAACAAATATTGTGTGATTATATACCAGTATACCTATAACAATAATAACTGTTATTAATTTTATTATGATGATGATTATTATTACTAAATAAAAATATATATTAAAAAAAAATTAATAATTACTATAGTAATTGTTCACATTATATATTGTGTCTATTTAGTTTTTATTAATTAAATTTTTTTGTAAAATCAAGTCAAACTAAATGAAAATGGGAAATGTCGCATTTGCAACTAGTTAAAATAATTATTTTTAAATATTTTTTTATTTAATATTTTTTTATATTTAATACGTTTTTTTATATTTTATTTTAGTTACATATTATGTTTTATTTCAAGTAATGATTTTTTTGTGATTAAAAAAAAACTTGAACAGAAATAAAATTAAATATACAAATATTTAATTTTATGTTCCATATTTTTCCCGTATATTTTCCAAACTAGCTATATAAAACTACAGACAAAACAAAACCTAATAAAACAAAACAAAAACTAATAAAAAATAACAAAAACACAACAAAAACTAACTAAAATTAAAACTAATTCGAAACATTAATAAAAACTGAAAAAGTGTCCCTGATACTAAAATAATGCTGATTTCACTATAAAAGTACTATTTAAGAAAAATAATGTAAAAATAATTTTATTTTACAATACAACTGTAAAATGACGATACTAATATTTATGGTTAAATTAATTTCATTATTATAATTTTTTTTTTAAATGCTAAATCATCAAAGCTTGTATTTTGGGAGAAAAGCACAAAGAGCCTTTAAAGCTTCTCTTATGTTGACAAAAGCTGGTTTATCATTACGAGCGCTTCTCATTATGAGTTTGGGAAGAACGTAGCTGTTTAGCTTTCATTTAGATGAAATGCTCAAGACTGCAAGACATTATTAAAAGTAATCAAAGTGATCAAAGAGAGAAAATGAGGCTTTCCCAAAACGAGCAGTTGATTAAATCACAGAAACACACATCTAAGATTCATTATCTACAGAGTCTACATGTAGCGCCTAATAACTTTTGTTCAGTCCACTTTAAAGTCAGAGAACAAGAGGAAGCTCCATTCAGTCTCACCTTGACGTTTCCTGATGTTGTGACGAGCAGCTGCCGTCTCTTTCCTCTCCCGATGCTGAAGACGCTCGATCCCGGATCCTTCTCCTGCTCTCCGTCCCTCAGTTCTCCGGGGCCCGAACGCTTGGTCACCACACGCTGATCCTGAACTCAACAAACATTTATATATAACATCGAAACTCTCTTCTATTACTCATATGCACAACTATCATTGATTTTCTCCACATTTAGTTTACTTCAGGTTCTAGTTCAGGACAGCACGAGTTCAGCGGCTTTCAACCTTTTTGACTCCAATGTCCCCCATTTAGTATCTTTAATATACTATTATAATTGTTATTATTATTTTAAATTAGTTTTATTTTTATATTTTCTGTTTTTATTTTAATTTTTGATCAAGTTTTAGTAATTTAGTTGTGTGTTTTGTCATTTTATTAGGTTTGTGTTTAGTTTTTTACATAGTTTTTAGTAATTTGAAATATTTATTTGAAATAAAAAGGTTTAATTTTTTTTTAATATTTAATAATTTCAGTTTATTTTATTTCAAGTAAGGGAATTTTTTTGTGGTTCTAGACTAGTTTTAGTTAACTGTAATACATCTGCTATCCACAAAAACATTTGAAGGCCCCATGACTTTTCCATTTGTTTGCGATTTATTCGATAAGGATTAATGATGAGGACTTTTAAAGGTGCCATAGAATGCAAAAATCACTTTTATAAGGTGTTTGAACACAGTTGTGTGGCCGCAGTGTGTGAAAACAACCAGCCTATAATGGTAAAAATCCACCCACTCATTGTTTTATAATCCCAATAAATCATAAACAGTCTCTTCACACTAGCAGATCCAGATATCTCACTATTATGACGTCATACTCGGGGGAAGTCCCGCCCATTTGTGACACTCTCTGCCCTATTAGCATATACACAGCCCTGAGGTATGCCCGCGAGCATGAGCTCTTGAAGCTCCGCACTCTTCTGAAAGGGGAGGCGGGAGCACCGGTTCATTTTCATTTAAAGGGACAAACACAAAAAACTGCGCATTTTGGCTCATACCCTAAAAGTGGCCATTTCAACAAGCTATAAAAAATAATCTGTGGGGTATTTTGAGATAAAACTTCACATACACATTCTGGGGACATCAGAGAACAATTTAAAATATTGTATCAATGCATTCTATGGCACCTTTAAAACAATTTTTAATTAAAATATATGTAGGTTTTCCAAGACGGTGGGAATCCTGGTCCTTCAAAAAAAAAAAAAAAAAACTGTTGCTGAAGAGTTGAATTAATTTTAATATCTTGACATTTTTTGTTGTTTTGTCTTATTTTAAGTTATCTTGAGGTCCCCAGTTTCAGACGTCAAGTCACATTTATTTCAATAAATAAAATGTTCACTTTATACAACAGAGATTGTTTCAAAGCAGCAATAATCAGGAAAATAACAGCGCTAGTGTTGTAAAATTCACCGATTATGAACCAAATTTTATTTCAGCTGTAAAGCAGATCTACAACAGACAATAGGGTCTTTTTTCAGCTCGGTTCAGTTCAATGTTGATTCAATTCAGTTCAATAACAGTGACAATGTTGCAAAATTCATCAATTACGAAATTAATTTAATTTCAGATAAAGCAGCTCTACAGAAGACACTAAAGTCATTATTCAGCTAAATTCTGTTCGATGCTTATTCAATTCAGTTCAATAACATATCAATGTTGCAAAGATAAATTCCTGTACTGACAAAATGTCATCTTTGGACAAAATAAATGCCAAGTGTAAATGTAGTTGCATTTACTAAAAGTACTACACTGTAAGGGTAAAAATGAAGTAACTAAAACCACATCTAAATTTATCAAGCACCAACCAGTGACTAAAAATAAAGATTCAGCATGTTGAGCATCAAGTCATTTCTCCATCCTCACTGTGAGTTCAATGCTGCACGAAGCAACACAATCAAAGCTGAAGACTTTATATGGTCAGCGTTCGAGTCTCTGGTGTTTGTGTTTGCAGGAATAAAGCAGCTCACGTTGGAGGATTTGTTGATGGTGACGGTCAGATCATCAGGCTTTCCCTTCCTGCTGTGGAGTGACATCCCTTCCTGTTCCGCCCGCTTTTTATCCTCCTCCACTTCCTGCAGAACATCACAAAACTCAGCAAGGCCCAAACACACAAAGTGCTTTTTTATGGGATCGCTGACCTCTTACCATTTTATTTTTTTCACAATAAATACATAAAATGATTTCTGAATGAGGTTTCGTGACTTTAAATGTTTTGTTTGCAAATGGTAATTAATCAAGTGTGTTTTTTGACAGATTTTAAATGTGAGAGTACAAGGTTTTCACCTGGTAGCGTTTCATAAGTGCTTCATTTTTCTTCCGTAAGGCCTTGATCTTTTTATCCAGCTCTGCGTCCTTGTGTTCCTTCTTCATCATCATCATTTCTGTGGGACTCTGAACAGTTTATGAACATGTCAACATCACGTACACAAACACAATAGCAAACAATCTGTGCAACATCACATTGATTATGCCAGCCAGCAGGCTTTCTGTTATTTACGGCGTCTCGCACGAAAATTAAACTCTTTCTACACAAACATCAGCGTAATGGTCTTGCACATTTTTCTTGTCCACTTGTGGAGGAGACATTTGAACAGTCTGGAGCAAAAAAAAAAAGAGAATTACATAAAGCAAATCTATCAAAATAAGGCTGCATGTATGTTACATAAATGTCTATAAAATGCCAGAGACCCAGAAGAAAAAGTTCAGGAATGAAACTCAAATACAATGGCACATGACCAGTCAATTGACTGTTTACATGTTTCTTTAACACCGCATGCATGGACGTGCCATTATTAGCATCAGCTGCTGTGAGCGGCAACATGAGCTCAGCGCATTAAAACTCATGCTATCAGCTGTTTCAAGACGTCTGACTTTCACATGTGACCACAATTTCAAAGGCTGCCACTCAAAACACATTCAATAACCTCAAGATCTTGAGTATAAAATAATAATAATAATAATTCAATAACTCTAATATTACAATACTAATATTTATGGATGAAAAATAATACAGAATTTGGGAAAAAATAAAGCAGTTTTCATAGGGCCTGAAAATTTAATTTGTCACATTTTTCATGACTCATAAATTGTATGAGTTTCATGATTTGAATTAATTAGACATGCTTTTTGATTACTAAAATTTAACTTGACGATTAAAAAAAGAATCCAGAAAAATTAAAACTGAATAAAAGGAATCCAGAGAAAATAGAACAGGAAAAACTAAATTCAGAAAAGCAAAAAAAAACTGAATCCAGCAAAATTAAAGGGGTACTGCAGCTTCTTTAAATGGCTGCAGAGCTGGCAAAAGGGCTCATGCTGGACGCGCCGGGGGAACGAACACTTCCCTGCACAGCTGAAGAGAAACGTTTAGCACAGCATATGTGCAGGTATCTGTGGATTTTTTGAGAAAATGAAAGCTGGAGCGCCTGCGGCAGCGTTACAGTGAGATAACCCGACTGACTCCAGGCCAGTGTAACTCCCACACAGAGTAAATTTGGATCTGAAGAGGCTTGCAGAGATTTGAGAGAGAATAGAGTTAGCTCTCAGCTCAAAACAGAGATTCCTCGAGGTCGAAAGATGCTTTTATCCCTGCAAACTAGGGCTGGGTGATAAAACGATAACGATAATCGAGATATAATTTTCCTCGATAAAACGATAACAAGAGTTCGATAAATGTTCGATATAATGTTTATGTGCCAAAAGCGGAATGAAACAGCGCTACTCATTTGAAGCGCTCGGCTCTTCAGTGGCAATCTATGAAGAAAAATGTCAACAAAGTTTTTTCCCCCTAAAAAAAGTTAGTTAATAGAACAAAAAAACTTTAACAAAAACCTTTTTATTTTTGTTGAAAAAAGTGGAGCCAAAACATTTCAGATTGCTGTACAAGACTCTATTATACCAGCGTTCAAGTTTGCGGTTGCCAGATATCAAGAGCTCAAATCCCCCAATCAGAGGCGCCGTGACCTGAAAACACCGACATATAAGCAAGCTAGCGTTCAGCGATCTCTGTTTGAGGTATTCTGCTTAAATGAAAGTGTCCTTCAGCAGTCTGTGTTCTGTATTGTTTGCTGATTGTAACGTTACTTACGCAACCTCTGTGCTGCAATAAGTCTTTTTTGCCGTCGTTTTAAAAGAGAAACATTAATGCAATTTGGAATTACTATTAGGAATTTCTCTGTTATAATATTTGAGAGTAGGTTTTTGTTACACCAGCTTTCATAACGTAGACAGTGCGAGTGTATATCTGAAGTCTTTGGTGTTTATTTAGCCTCTAATTGATATCCTGTTATAAATCTGTACACTAACGTTAGACGAGGTGAAATAAACCATGCATACGAGTCGATATTCTATTGATTTGTGCTTTTTGGTGAAAGAGCAACTTCTGACTAAATCTAAAAATACATTTCACAAATAACAACAATCATTGCAGTTAAAAGTGAGCAAAATAATAATATTTTGCATTTTAAACATTATACAGTAAGACGAAAATGTGTACGTTTCCACTGACTAAAACTAGACTAAAATTCTCAGACATTTAGTCGACTAGAACTTGACTAAAACTAAAACAGGCCAAGTTGACTAAATATGATAAAAACTAAAAGTTACATTTGACACAGGACTAAGACTAAATAAAAAAAATAGCTGACAAAATGAACACTAACTCGCTGATGAGTCTCGGTCACACGACACTAAACAGTGCTGTGAGATCCAGTGTGAAGCGACTGAATTCACGAACAACACAAATGACTTTAGTTTAGAGCCTGATGAAACAGGAGAGACACTGTGCGCAACGTTACAGTCAGAAGCTTTTCAATCTACAAATCGCCATCATTTACCATGGATTTACTGCAGTAATACTAACTGCACCATGGTATTGTGGCAGAAATGTGGGATATTCATGTCAAATTTTATTATATTTTTAATGTAGACATGTATTAAATGTATTAAAGGAGTAATGGAATTAGGGCTGCTCGATTATGGCAAAAAAATCATAATCACGATTATTTTGGCCAATATTGTAATCACAATTATTTAACACTGTTATGAGGGGGCCATATGACTTTTACTGATTTGCACGTGAAATTGGGCTTTTATGGAGGAACGAAACCGCAGCACTGTAAAAGGGGGCGGAATGGGGGCGTAATAATCGTTTTATCTCGATTATTGTATTTTCATAATCGTTGGAGGCCAAACTCGAAATCGAAATTGTTTTTCGATTAATTGCACAGCCCTAAATGGAATATAATTACAGTTTTTTTTGTGATTAAGCTAGTGTTTGTAAATGTATTTAGACTACTGTTTTTCATACAAATAACTAGAAACCCTATAGTTACATTTTTACCATGGTATTGAGGTTTTAACTGTGGCTATCATGATCTTAATGTATGCTACTATGGAAGACCAATGGTTAATTTTAATAAAACTCAAAACAGTCAGAATAATTAAATTTCACCATATAAAAATGAGGTTGTTACAATTTTTACAGATGTTACCGTTTTTGATAATGAACATAAATTTACATCTGCAACTCAGGCTACTGTCAAATGTGCATTTCTAAGAGACAAAAAATTTACTATTATTAATATTGCAGCCTGCACTGCAAACTGTGCTGAAAATACTCATCATCAAAGTCAGGAACACAAACCTGCTTCATGATTTGAAACAATAGCAATGCAGAAACTAAGAAATTAATGTTTCTATTAAGATAGGCCTACTTATTTTAAGGCAAAACGTGAAAAAAAAAACATGTTTGTCATGTTCTGACAATATAGCGTAGTTTAAAACCACAATTAACGGTCTGGTTTCACTTAGGAGCAAAATCTGCCTTTAAACTTGAAAGAAATAAAGATATAAAAATGTATCGTGATAATTATCGATTTCGACTGATATGAAAAACTTTATCATGCAAATTTTTTATACGGCTGCAGATCACAGACTCACGGCTGGCATCCTCTAACAAAACACAAAATATATATTCTGGGTTGTTAAAACAAGCATCTCTATTACTAGTGCTCAAAGTTACGTCACCAAAAGGACCATTTAGTCACATTTTACTGTGCAACTGAGGGTCGAGCTCCTATTCTAACTGTCTAACTCTGTATTTCAAGGCCAAACCAGAGCATTACAAGAAATATTTAATAAATAATCACTATTAGCTCAAATCCACCTCTCAGACTGACATTTGACCTCTTCTGTCCAAAGCAGAGGAGGAAATTAAAGCTGCTGTTGCCTGCGGTCACTTCATGTGAAGAGATTCTCTGTAAAATACAATGACTCAACACTGAAACACATGCAGCGGCTGCGACTGAGTGTTTGCATGCATTTAAAGTGACACACAATGGACGACGAGCTACAAGCCTGCAAAACAATATGGAAAGTAATTATTTCAATTGTGCATGCTCAGTTTTCGAATTCTGAGTGCAAAATAAGAAAATATGTGTTGGTTTAAATTCAGCAATTTTGTTAATGTTTTTGTTGTCATTCATATGCGCATCAGCATTTTATCCACTATTCTTTTCTCTAAATATCTGTAAACAGGAGTTTTGTTGCTCTTTTAGACTTCAAAGTTAATTTCACCAATCAAAATGTGATTCTCCACCACAGATACAGATCATTTATTGAAACTAAACTGCAAAAACATCTCCTTCAGAAATTTCCATGGTTATGACATCACAACCATGAGCTCATTAACATATTACCGCATATATTTACATAGTAACACCCACTCATTATTCAGCAGCTCGACTTTGTGTGACAAACAGAAATAGAGAGAGTTTGCCAAATCAAAGCAGAGGTTGTTAGGACATAAAAACTAAATGTTTGGTGCTAGAAAAATTCTTACCTTATCTAAGTATAATAAATGAACAGATTCACATTCATTGCAATGTGATTTTTTTAAGGGAGTCTGACTGGTATCAGCAGAATAAGGCCTGCTTCAGACGACACCAAACATCTTAACTTTGTTAAGATTCCCAGCATTCCTGTTTCACGAAGCACACTGAACCATATTGACATATTATGTGGGACCGGACCAAGATGCCTGGGAAAAAACATGCAGACTAATAATTCAAATGTGGCTAAAAACCACTTTATTGTGGGTGCCGACCATAATAAACAACCAGTCCTCATTTACTCGCTCATGCTGTTTCAAACCCATTTGACTTTCTTTCCTCTGTGGAACATGAAAGCAAAAAATGTGGAAGTGGATGGTGATTTTTTTTTACAGAAAAGCTGCAAAAATTGACATAAAAGCCCCATCTTGAAGCCGTGTGATTGATCTCTAAAATATAAGTCATTATTTGCTGAAAATGTGACATATTTCATCAAGTCCAACTGCAGATGACATTTAAGAGCTACAGCAAAAGGGATTTTCAGTGAATAACCACTTAAACATCAGTACGTTCCTCTCACAAAGCATCATATCACTTCAGAAGACTTGGAATATATAGTGTAGGGTAGAAGTATAATTGCATCTTAATTATGCATAACATGGAAAACAAGACTTAATTGAAGAGTTCAGTCAAAATGAAAATTTGCTGAAAATGTGCTCACCCTCAGGCCATCCGAGATGTAGATGAGTTTTTTTTCTTCATCAGATTTGGAGAAATGTAGCATTGCATCAGTGTCTCAGCAATGGATGCTCTGCAGTGAATGGGTTGATGTTTTTATCAGCTGTTTGGACTCTCATTCTGACGGCACCCATTCACTGCAGAGCATCCATTGCTGAGACACTGATGCAATGCTACATTTCTCCAAATCTGATGAAGAAACAAACTCATCCTAATCTTGGATGGCCTGAGGGTGAGTAAATTGTCAGCAAATTTCCATTTTTGAGTGAACTATTCCTTTAAGCATTCTACAAAATCTCTTTTTGTGTTCAACGTAAGAAAAAGAGTCACACAGGATTAAATGGACTCGGTTGAACGATTCCTTTAAAGAACATTTTCAGCGATTATGTTTTGAAGGGAAGTGCGCAAAGAACTCACAGAGACTTCGGTTGTCAGGGGACCAAAACAAACCTCGCAGAGGTACAAACACACAGAGGAAAATCCAGCGCAATACGAGCCAGCGTGAATCATCAATGCTGCAAAAGGACAGGGAACATTCCAGCGGCTGCTTCCTGCGCTTCCCACTCATCCGTACGGATCACATGTCAAAAAGCCCAACACAGCGTCTCTAACTATCAGCTCTCGTGCCTATACCGAGGCCTTGTTCTTCTGGGGCGTAAGACAAGCGCGAGTCTGGCGGCCAGCTTAGTTGCAGCTACCATCCTCATCCAGACAGCTGAAAAAGGAACGAGCGGGATCCAGAGAAGAGCAAAGATGTGTACAAAAGAGTGGGAGTGAGAAAAAGCTAGTGGAAGAATGAGAAACAGTGGCACTCACAGCTCTGTTCATGTCAGCAGGGAAATCTGGGATCCTTCCAAACGGCAGGCAGCCGACGCGGCTCGGGGAAGAAGCACATGGAGTCCCGGATCATGCCTTGATTACAAAAACGCCAGCTGGGCTGCGAGCCAAGATCCCCGAACGCAAAGAAAAGCCCTGCTAACGGATCCCGCGCTCACCCGTACGGCGCAGCCTCTCTCTCTCTCTCCCTCTCTCTCTCAAGCTGTCGCTCATAGTTAAAATTACCCCTCACTCCCCCACCCACGTCTGCGGTCATACCCCTGAAAAACTCCACAAATCACATCCATTCATTTCATGACTCTCAGTACAGGATTTTTATTATTACAGTACTAATGTTTCAAGAATGAAATTTTGAAATCAAGAGTGTTTCTTCAACTATGGGTGCATTTGGCTCAGTGAACCTTTTGAAAACCTCCCTTTCACACTCTCAATAGTCAATTTAAAGGAAAAGTTCATGTTGTTACTTAATAGGACAGGGTTGAAGCAGGGGTTGAAAAGATTATTACATCATAAAAAAGCTAAATAAATGAAAATCATACATTATAATAAAATAAAATTTCTAAAAAGATTAATTCAATTATAAAAATGATAAATAGTAAATAAATAAATAATACAACTAAAAAAATTTAATCAAAATTAAACACTTTCTAAAAAAATAATTAATTAAATCATAAAAATGCTAAATAAACAAAGAATAAATAAAAAATAAATTCTAAATTAAACACTTTCTAAAAAAGAATTGATTAAATCATAAAAAAGCTAAATAAATAAAAAATAAATTCTAAATTAAACACTTTCTATAAAAGAAGAAATGATTAAATCATAAAAATGCTAAATAAATAAATAAACAAATAATAAATAATAAATTCTAAATTAAACACTTTCTAAAAAAGAAGAATTGATTAAATCATTAAAAAAGCTAAATAAATAAACAAACAAAGAATAAATAAAAAATTTATTCTAAATTAAACCATAATCATAAAAACCTAAATAAATGAAAATCATAAATTATAATAAAACAAAATCTTACTAAAAAGATTAAATTATAAAAATGATAAATAGTAAATAAATAAATAATACAACTAAAAACAAATTAACAAAATACACATTTAAAAAAAAAAAAGATTTAATTAAATCATAAAAATGCTATATAAATAATCAAACAAAAATAAATAAAAAATTAATTCTAAATTAAACACTTTCTAAAAATGAAGAATTGATTAAATCATAAAAATGCTAAATAAATAAATAAACAAAGAATAAATAAAAAATAAATTCTAAATTAAACACTTTCTAAAAAATAATTGATTAAATCATAAAAATGCTAAATAAATAAACAAATAATAAATTCTAAATTAAAAACTTTCTAAAAAAAATAATTGATTAAATCATAAAAATGCTAAATAAATAAACAAAGAATAAATAATAAATTCTAAATTAAAAACTTTCTAAAAAAATAAGAATTGATTAAATCATAAAAATGCTAAATAAATAAACAAAGAATAAATTCTAAATTAAACACTTTCTTAAAAAAAAAAAAAAGAAAGAATTTGTTTACCGGCTCGTCATTTACCGTGAACTTGCAAATGTGCCGTTATTGAAATATTAATTTAAAAACTCACGCTGTTTCAAACCCATAGGACAGGGGTGATGAAAAGTTAATGATTAATTAAAGGATAAAAATGAAAATAAATAATAAAAAAACAAATAAATTTAATATTTTCTGAAAAACAAAAAGATGAAATAATTCAGTAGTTACCGAGTACACTTTCTTAAAAAAAAAAAAAAAGAAAGAATTTGTTTACCGGCTCGTCATTTACCGTGAACTTGCAAATGTGCCGTTATTGAAATATTAATTTAAAAACTCACGCTGTTTCAAACCCATAGGACAGGGGTGATGAAAAGTTAATGATTAATTAAAGGATAAAAATGAAAATAAATAATAAAAAAACAAATAAATTAAATATTTTCTGAAAAACAAAAAGATGAAATAATTCAGTAGTTACCGAGCATATCATTAACCGACATCAGAGAACCGTGAAATGAAATATTAAATTAAAAACTCAATATAAATATAAATACATTCAAATAAATATTTTAGGTTTGGCTGACAAAAATCTTTCACTCTCACTAGTGTATTTTAGACTTGTGCCGGTATTCGGTAATGTGATATATCAAGAATATGCACGATATTGTTATCGTGGGCACTTCTAAATACCGTGAATAATTATATATTACAAATTATTCAGAATTTTGAATGCATTAAGAATACTTTTCCCATAAACTGGTCAAAATGCACAACACAGCTGTATGCTGCGTGAAAGACGCATGCCCACTCTGATGTAAACTTTATACATTTTTCTGTATTGCTTTATTGCATTTAAATGTTCAGTTATTTTTGTTATAAGAAAGAAGTTATTAACCCTGTTATACTGTATTATGACAGCACTTTTTTAGAACTAAATTTCAACATCGTGATAATACCGCATACCGTGATAAGCATTAGCAATTAATCGCAACATGAAAATTTGATACCGGCATATCCCTAGTGTATTTAATGAATAGTTTGCCCAAAAATTACAACTTTCATAACTTATTCATATTTATATCATTTTAAATCAACAGTACAGGGTTGATGAAAACGCATTATTGAATTAGGGCTGATTAAAATGTAGAATTGAACCGTGTACATACTGTGTTGTTGAATTATTTAAATATTAAGTTAAAAACTCTAAATATAATATATATTGCCAATATTATATACTGTAAATATTATTGGCTCTTATTATGACAAATTGCCTGTGATTTTCCTCACTTATGAGTCGCTTTAGATAAATACTTCTGATAAATAAATACAAGTAAGCATAAAAAGTAAATCAGACGGTCTCCACCTGTTTAACTGGGCAGTTCTGGGTCAGAATGTGAAGCAAATCATACTAATAGACAAAGGTCTGGATACATGAATCAAGATGACTTTACCGTCTGAATCTGTTGATGCACTGAATGGATCTGAACAAGAAAAAGCATCTGAAATACTCACATCGTCCTCCAGCAGACAGTGTCTGTCCTCACAGAAGTCCATGAACATGATGTGATGCTCCTGGTGTTGCATGATGATTCCTGTAAGAAACATTGACGATTCATGTGACACTGAAGACTGGAGTAATGATGCTGAAAATACAGCTTTGATCACAGAAATAAATTACATTTTAAAGTATATTAAAATAGAAAACCAGTATTTTAAATGGTAAGAATATTTTACAATCTTGCTGTTTTTTGGCCAAATAAATGCAGCCATTATGACCAGAAGAGACTTCTTTAAAAAAATAAAATAAAATACATTAGAAATCTATATATAGACTGGCAAAACGTGCTTTTGTTGCATATCAAAAGGAACAAACTTGATTACAAGCAAAAAAAACAAAGAACCCCAACTGAGCAGACAGACACAGTATAGTCATACATGTAATGCTTGTATTTGATAAATATACCATGGTAATTCAATTGTATTTAAAATACAGTGTCAGTATGTATCATTATAAATATGAATATATCAAAATACCATGGTAAAGCAGCAATGCCTTAGTATCAAGTGTCTTTTCCTGGCTGTTTAACATTCTAAACCTACAATATCATATTTGTTTATCATACTAATAACTAGGAAATCCATCAACTAGACTAGCAATCAGATCAGCAATAAACAAACATAAACCAGTTTAAGTTAACGTTAGTTTACCACATTAGTCTCCTCAGCAGGGGTTGGATCTATTTTACATACAAAACGATTAAAACTTTTCTCACTGCTCAAAAAAAGTCACTGTATTTTAAAATATCTGAAACATTTAATATGGGATGTGGTTTAATTTCTTGCTTATAAATGATAAATTAGTTAATCTGTTTTGCGCTGATGTGTGCGTTGTAACGTTAGCTTCGCAAACACGATTGTAGCCAGTCAACATTTTTATGGCAGTTCAGACATTAGAAGATAGAAACGATGATCAAACGAGATAAAATGAACCAGATAAACCAGTACTCGTGGATGTGAGTCGATCTGCTTACCTGCCAACCAGGTAAAAACACAATTTCTTGACTAGCAGACTGAACGGAGGCCCGAGCGACTGACGTCACTGTGCTGGATTTGGCGCCACAAAACGCGAAACCACGTGACCGATTATTGTAAAGCCTTGAAACTTTATCCTTTTTAAGGACCTTTGCACTTATTTTGTAGTTAGAGATATGGATTTGTTCTCAATACCCCTCTGTATATAGTTCATATTTTTTTGTTTATTTTTTTATTTTTTTCCTTCCTTAATTTGCATTATTTTTTTACAATCATTGTCTTTTTGAATTTATTGACATTTTTGCTTTTATTGTCAATTTGTATGTGAATTTTCACTATATAAAGCAAAAAA